ATAAAAATGTATTAATACATAAAATTATACTTTGGTGGAGGTCAAACTCGATGTGCACCAAAATGTTAAATAAATATTGGTGTTCTCTAACTCGTCCGTCAGATTATCCATCATTTTGTCATTCTTAAAGTTTTAGTCACATAGAATGTGCCGCTATTTTACATTCACATATAGTGTGTCTCTCGTTAATGTGGCCCCTTGTTGAAGCGAAATGCATTTACCTGAATTGTGCTATACATTAAAATAATTAGGAACGTGAAGAACGTCCTAAAAATAACCCGTTTTACTGCATTATCTGACAGAACGGTTAATCATAGGAGAGTTTGTATGACAACCCAATGAATATTGAAAGTAAATTAGCAGCGACTACGGTTGAAATCATGATTGGTATGTGTGGGGACAGCTTCCTTCGGAAACCCCCATTTTTGTACCGCGCCAAATATGTGCATTTAACATGAGCAGACCTGGAATGTTCTCAAAGGGGTTCAGCTGCCGGTCTGCTTAAGGAAACACTAGTCTAAGAAAATCTAGAAAATATGTATAGTTTTTGTTTGTGGAGCAAACAGGATCGCGCACGGCAGCCTTGGTAATGGGAACCAACATGGCGCACAGCGAGATCGTACCCATGGGGAACGAGGTTGCCACAGACCTTGAGGCTCTAGGGGTGATGCCTGGTCCAGTCCTACCAAATTAATAGCTCGTTGTTGGATCCTATCAAGAAGATCCTGCAAAATGGTAATAACGTTTACCACTATATAACGTGAAGTTTGTGTGGTGATGATGAGCTCCGATTTTCACTGAATTCGAAGGCATCACAGCACTTATCAAAAAACACGATCAAGGCGCCTACACCAAGCACGGACAAATAGTTCGTGGTCTGAGTGAAAGAACTAGTGAAGTTAACGGGATTTCAACTCTCTTTTCAAGATGTCCAGGGATATTATTTAACGACAGATTAGTCACGACAAGGAGCCTTTATTCAAAAGCCTTTATACAAGCCTTTATACTGAACTGAAGGATACTGTACATTAAAATTCAATAATTAAAAATCAACTGCATAATCCACTTCGATGATTATGCAGATAAGTGCATAATTACATGAATTTGTTGCCTTACGAGGAGGCCCCGCAGTTAATTTAACACAAATTATCATACTTGTTCTCAATATACTTATTATTGAATAGTTAAGTGATCCATATTGTGTTTCGCTGACTACAGGTCAATAGGCCTGGGACCTAATGACGTCACGCTTTGTTTACATGTGCGCTTTCCTATGTGTCAGACGGTCCCTACTTTGTCTGGCGTCCCGACTTCGCTCCCATAGGAAATTAAGCGCATATGCAAACAAAGGCATAACGTCATTAGAACTTGGTCTATTAACCGATAGGTTTAGGTTAAGTCAGAGGTAACTGCTTGATAGTCGAATTCAATACGAAATCGTTTTTTAACATCACAAATACTAAATCTAAACGTCTTTTATTTGTCGAACAAGCAATGACTGTCTTGAGTACCACTTAAATGCATCGTGCAAGGTATAGAGGCATAAATATTCAAATGCCAAAGAGTAATTAGTGTTTATACCTGGAATGCACTTTTGATGTTAAGTTCATGAAGTGCAGCGATTTGAGGTATAACAAAACACAGTATGTCAGAACGTATACTTAAAGTTAGACAAAATGCCGCACGAGAGTAGTTACCATTTTTGCTTTCGATGGATCGCTGTTTTCAGCATTTCAGTTACTCTCCATTCAACTGATAAGCATCGGACATAAAAGCAGATTTCAGGGCATTGTGGCGACTGGTCAGTTTGCAGTATGTCTGGCTATGAAACTGAGCACGAACACCGATGTGTACCGTATAGTTAACGCGGTTCCACCTTGATTTTAGTAAGTGGTTTTAGGGCTTTATCGTTGGAATTCCTCGGTTTCCCTGTGTCAATCTGGAGGCTACTGGACATTCTAAAGCAATAATTAAAGGTCAATTGCATAATTTCACTACAATAATTATGCAGACTTGTGAATTTCATTTCCATACGAGTACTGTCAAAGTACCTAATTGTATTCAAAGGATTTATCATTGGAATGATTAAAGTGAACCATACTTGAACGAAAGGTTGGTCTTGAAGAGATCACTAATTTCATAGTAAGGTAACAATTGATTTGCAAGCCATATATAATACCAAAGGTTTGACTTTAAAACGCTGAGGGCTCGAAACAAATCACAACTCGCCTCATCCCCCATTTTACATTCAACAATAATAAATATTTTAATAATTAACTCGAAGAAGTAAGTCCTTTGACAGCATTCACTCTGGGTATATTGAATGTTATATTCCACCGATAGTGTTCTTCCCTCTGAGCAAAGTGTACAAAGGTGCTGAAGTATTATCCGGCAGCGGTTTGGATATAACATGGATATATTGTGCGTTATTCAACCAAAGCAGAGCAATATGTACGCCATACAGTTATACAAGAATCCAAACGGCCGAAAAACTACACCGAAGGCAGCATACCATCATGAAACAGTTATAGTGTAGTGACAGTAATAACTCCACGATATATATGTATTTTAACGATGACTGAATTTTAACGATGACTGAACGCTAACATTATAACATTACGCAAAAGAAAGAAACGGAAGACCAAACTTCCTTTAACAATGAACACTACGTATATAGGCTATCATGCATAATCGTTTAAAAAGCTCGTGAAAAGACTCACAGTAAAATATGATTGGATGTGGCATCGTGCCCAGGTATCAGTTGGGTCCTCTTGTCAGTCTGACCACCGAGAGTGAGGCAATAATGTTCATGTTGACCTTTTGTGTGTTCAAAGGTGGACACTCGCAATTAATTTTCGGATAGTTTGGTAGACACCATGGGTATAAACCGTACAACTGAATCTTTTGAAATTCCGTCTGAATAGGCGTTCAACGGTCATTTGAAAACGTTCCTCGCGCAATATGAATGGATAACAAAACTTGGGGGGAATGATAGCAGTACATTTTCTGTGACTGATACTTTAAGAATGACAAAATGGCGCCGACGGGCGAGTATTGAGAACACCAATATTTATTACAAGGTCCATAGGACTTTACAAATTACCTTGTTATAACAGGTACCTTGTATTAACAATATTGGAAAACAAAGGAAAACAAAGAAAAACAAAGACTTATTACCAGGGTTCGACTGTACACATCGAGTTTGACCTCCGACGAAGTGTAACTGTATATATTAATAAAAAAAAAATTAAAGGTCTATTAATTTTTATTGATGAATTAATTACATTTAATGAATTAATTTTAATTTGACAAGTTAATTTTAAATTCACGAATTAATTTAGATTTGATGAATTAATTTTAACTGATGAATTTCAATTTTAAAATTTACAAGAATAGATGCAATATGATGACAAACATATAAATAACGATGATTGTGAAAGAAAGAACTTCATGGTAACTATGCTTCAACAATTAAAGGAAACAAGAATTTGTACCAATTCTTTTGAGGACGTTGCATGAAAAAATAGTATCCAATACGTATATGTTATTAGTATCGTTTCGGTTTGCGGTAACACCATGTGGTAATAACTACTGCTTAGAAGATATTAGTTCTGAAAAGAACTTGTCCTGCTTATTATCAACTTCGCTAAGTAGTTTTTTTGTTCTGATAAGAACAGTCCTGCTGTAAGTTCTAAACGAACTTGTCTTTGGTCTCAACGTTTCGACTAGCCTGCTCTAGTCATCGTCAGATTTCATAGATGGAATAGACTTGACGATGACTAGAGCAGGCTAGTCGAAACGTTGAGACCAAAGACAAGTTCGTTTAGAACTTACAGCAGGACTGTTCTTATCAGAACAAAAAACTACTTAGCGAAGTTGATAATAAGCAGGACAAGTTCTTTTCAGAACTAAATATCTTCTAAGCAGTAGTTATTACCACATGGTGTTACCGCAAACCGAAACGATACCGATACTCCACCATGCAAAGCCTCAAATCTTATATATGTTATAAGTAACAATATATATCTAAGCTACTCTCATGTAAAATACCGGTGCGTGCTGGTGTATACAGTGTAAGTTGTATACAGAACTTTATATAGAACTATTTTAAAAATAAATGTAGGCCTACTGCAATTAAATGAATAGACTTGTTAATAAGATGGAATTTAATAGATGGAATAGACTTGTGTATCGGTACATACATCATTATGCTGTAATGAACATCTCTGAACCCATCCAACGTGCTGATTATCTTTCATCCACCCACAATGATGTGAAATACCGAAATAACTACATGGAAATCGTACTAAATACAACAGCAAAAGTTTGACAACTTATTTTAAAGTACATGTATAGCCTAATCGTTTTCATAACGTCTGTACACTTTAATTCCCAAAACTTGCCCACTTATGCAATTATAATAATAATAATAATAATAAGACCATTATCATGTTGTGGCCATCTCGATTTTGTCCCATTCAAATCAACCAAAAGCGAGGCTGGAAGGGGAAAATAGGCTGGTTCCTTTTTGCACATAAAACGTTATCAGTCAGTACTGTTATTGGATACAGGGAACATGACTGAAATGGTGGCAGCATGATAAAGGTCTATAGTATGGCCCCTTCATAACTCGGCAAATGTGACGTGTCTATCTGCTGGGGCTGAACGTTTCAAACAGCAGAGTCGTAATCTATAGTCAATCACAAGTCAATCACACGTTGCAGACAGTCTGTTTGGGGGTTTAGGATATAGAAGAAGTAACTCTGCGTGATTGGTGAGCTCTTCCTTTTAGGGGCGATTCGCAAAGTCTAGGTTAGCATCTTCGTACAGGTATACTGGGGCTCGTTTGGTCGATCGCGGCAGCCAAGGTTTATAGGTGCAGCCTATATGCGCTTGTGACAATTGGCAATAGACCATTATTATGTTGCGGCCATCTTGATTTTTCACATTCAAATCAACGTAATCAAAGCGAGGCTGGAAGGAAAATAGTCTGGCTCCTTTTTGCACAAAAATATTACCAGTCAGTACCGTTATTGAATACAGGGCCTGGGAACATGACTGAAATATGGCAGCAGCATAAAGGTATATCCGGGAAGGATGTGGTGGGCTGGTTGGAAAACCCGAGATCCTAGAAGATATAGGAAGTCTGCGATATAATAGTTTCATAAAGTTGAATTCCTAAATTCGACTCCTGAATGTTTGGTCAACATTCCTGCTTACTATGACCTGTGATGATTTGATTACAACCATGCAAACTAGGGCAGACAGAGCAGCATCTGCTGACCGCGCACTTTGTCATCGTAATGATGAGTGTCATAAGTTACGACGGCAAGCGGCTTAGCGCATCCTTCGGGTATGGAAATATCATCAAAGGAGTTTTCGAAGCAAATCGTGTATCTCCACGATTGGTCGTAGTCCCAACTTGCTTCAGAGTCGACGGATTCGCACCATCGATACTTCTCATCACAGTCGTCTGGGAATTAGAGAGACAAAAGAAAGGGAAGAAGACTCTATAAGGCCGACAATGATGCAGGGTGGCGGTTCGGTTTCTCATGCATCTTCTGATTTATAGTCCATATACTAATGCCTTGCTGCCAAAAACGCAAACCATAAGCTTTACAAAAGTGGTTTCCTTCCAAATTCATGAAGATAAATTAAGAAGTGTAGCCCTCATTGGCCTTATTCGCGAGTCGGCCATGTTGAATTCAAAGTGAGGTAAAATCTTCATTTTTGGAACTTGCGAAGTGAAATGAAAGCAAGTACATAAATATTATTGAAGTCTACTTAAATGAATAATTTAAATGAACCAATATGCACTTACCCTGGACAAATCTCCAGTCTCTGCTTTGTATCCCTTCTCGACCACCGACCAGGAGTTTGTAAGGGTCCTTCGTGTATTCGAAAACTGCAAATAATAATCGCAGTGTGTACATGTGTGAGCTTAACGTTAAACCAAGAATTAATGCACAGGGGCTTTTTGCGACGTTTGGTGGCGGTTTATACATGTAGATCTTTCATGTGTTAGCCATAATTTATAATAGGCACATTTCGACGTCATGTTGTTCACACGGGCGTCGCGAGGGGAAGGGGGGGCAAGGGGGGCAACAATTAACAGTATCAAACCCATGGACAGATTTCCTGTTGCCCTATCAGGTCTAATGCATACCATAATTATTTGAGCATCAGTGTTACTTACCTGCTAAGGCCTCGTGAGTATAGAGGGGCAGAATAAAATAGTGTTGACACAAATCCATAGCGTCGTTGCATGTCATGTTGATGAGACTGAATCCCTGATTTGAGGAGAGAAACAAAAGTATATGAGATGTAACTTTCTTCAGGTTATAGACCTATTTCAAGTTAAACTAGGTACCACTCTAGAATAGTTACCAGATTTGCATCAGATGGGTCACTGTTTTCAGCTTCCCAGTTACTCTCCACTCGAGTGATACGCACCTGACATGTTAGCAGGATTCGGAGCATTTTGGTGATTGATCAGTATCAAATCTGGCCATATGAAAACTGAGCACCAAATACCGAGGAGTACCGTATAAATGCTGGGCCAGTTTGATTTTTTTATAAAGAATTACTGGCATAAATTAATTGTGGTTTAAGGGCTATATCAGCGTAGCTTGTCCGTGAATTCTCTGTGTTAATCTGGAAGTTACTTGTACATTCTAATACAATAATTGAATGGAAATTGCATAATTCACTGCGATAATTATACAGAGTTATGAATTTGTTTCCTAGTCCATTGTACTTTGTTGGGGTTTTTTTAAAGCAAATTACCATAATCTTATTCAAAAGATTTAGTATTGCAATGATTTAGTGATTCATATCGTGGATAGCTAAATATACATGCCAATAAGAGTTTTTCGGTATTGAAAACCCAAATTTCAGGAGCTTATATAAGTTACAGAATTTTAACACCGTTTTAAACTTCTGTCCAAGCACGGATCACAAAAAAAAGGTAAGTGTTCTTTCAGCAAAACGAAAACAATTCACACACATCCCTATGTGATTTTTTTCGTTTTGCTGATGAAAGAACATTTACCTTTTTGTGATCCTTGGAAATAATCTTAAAACGGTTTTTGTGTTCAACATTCCGTATATAACACGAAAGGTACATACGTGTTTTGAATGATTCTTGTACTAAACGAAAGCTTATTGGTTGAGCTTTGATATCCTACATTTTGAAAGTGCTACATGCAGAACTTAATTAAATAATTGGTCCTGCCATTTGTGTTTCCTTTTTTTATACTCACACTGTACTTGCACTGCGACAAAACAGTACGCGTGTAGGCACATTATTGTTTATGTCCCAATGGGAAATAGACCGCTCCCTCAGTCAAGCCACGCCCATGATGTTTTGCAGGCCCGGATTATCCAATAGGCACAGAGTAGGCACTGTGTCTAGGGCCTACGAAAATATCCGGGGCCTACGAAAAATTCGGGAGCCTACGAAAATACCGCAATGTGCCATAAAATTAATAATAGGCCTATATATACCCGCACCCACGCTTACACAGGCATAGAAGTGGGGTACTTCCTTTGTTCTCGTGTACTAAAATTTTGAAATGTCGCACACTAATTTCAAAATGCTCTTATTTTAACCAGAATTAATTTCCTGGGCTGAAATTCGAACTTAATATCTCTTTTCTAAAACTCTTCCATTAGCGACCAATCAACCCACCTTGGAAATTCCTAGTTTTTGAGTAAAATCCATATATCTATTTCGTGAAAAACTTGTGGGTACCAAAATGGTACCCCGCAAGTCGGTGGACATTCCTTGTGGGGTAACTTCCATTGTTCCGGTACCCCATATAAGGCAGTGTTGATACGTTCACACACACCCACGCCCACAGTTTAAAAAAACGATTTCACCAACTGGCGCGGCGCCGTAAAATGTACATCACGTAAGCATAATATGACCTACGTATACAATGTACGTGTAAAGTCTGTGCATCTGAAGCACGGTGCCAACCATGGGCGTCGATTGGTGGGGGACGGAGGGGCATGTCGTCGTCTTCAAGCTATTTTCGTCCCCGAATAAAACATTGTAAACTTCATATTTTGATTCTATAGCTCAGAACAGCTGGTTTTAAGTACTCCAAACTCGAAAATGATGATGTTCTTTTGCTAAACAAAAGTTGGTTAAAGTGGTCATAATTGTCTCAGATATCACCACAGAGTGTCTAGAATCCAATTGTTTTTCAGGGCCCTTAAGCGGGCCCCAACCCCACGCCGTTTAGGCTTCGCACTCGCATTAGTTCTGATCAAGATACAGTACCACCTCCACTTTTGAGAAGCAATTGACGCCCTTGGTGCCAACAGGCTTTCAGAGCTAGGACCCGGATCCTGGCCTGATTTGTACAGTGCTTTGTACCTTGAATTTGGTGCCGGTGGCTAGAGCGGAGTAGGGCCTACGGAACACTGGTGCCTAGGGCCTACGAAACACCTAATCCGGGCCTGATGTTTTGACCAATCACGGTTCTGATTGCAGCACTCACTAATATAATAATAATATCCTACAGAAGTTTGCCCTACATGCACGCTTGTAAATGGTGTGCTAGTTCACTGACTTTGTCAGTAGGTTTATAAATCATTTTATTAATAATTATTACTCGGTCATATTTGTACGCCAGTGTGGAAATTGAAGACCGGGACATTTCAGACTGGGTAATTTCAAACACTGTAATATAATTTCGGGTAAGTAAATATTCTGAATCCTATAGGGAAAAAAAACCACAATTTTTGCAATACAGCTAGGTTATTCCACTGGAAACATGAAGGACAATATGCATCTCACACAGCGATCGCGTGTGGGGCTATAGTGAAATGTAATCGGCAACTTTTTTTCTGACATTAGGAAGGGCTGATGCCGCTTCACAGAATCTTGTGAAGGAAGTACGCATGGCATTATGGGTAGCTCATCAGCAGCGCTGCATGCTACGTCACAGGTCACGCAAAATCTATCAAATGAGAGCTCGAAGAAATCAGCCCTTCCCTGCGTCCTGTTTGCCGGAGGGGGGGGGGGTACGAGCGAAGGCGCCCTACATCTAACAGCGCTTAATTGTATGGCAAACTTTAATATGTAGGATATTCTGGTGTTGTATGTTTCTCGGTTCGAGTATATGCCCACCGCTGCACCTCTTGCACTTTGGGTGGCATGGGTGGCTAATTGTGCGATGTGGCCGGCAGCCATAGGCGCCTTTACGTGCCAGCGGCCCGACCACGTTGTAGCATACCAGCATAATTCAGCATACCAGCTGCGAGTAAGGATGATTAGCCTCCCAAATTATTATTATATTAACATAAAACAGTACATTGGAACTGAAGAACAAAGTACCTGGCATTTGAAGATGTTTTACCTTGAATGGCATTTAATTACTCGAAAGCTATTGCTTATTCGACAAAATAATAAAAGACGTTTACATTTGCATATTAATGCAAAAACAACACCGACTCATAAATTATTGAGTTATTAATAAACAGCATTTATACGATACACATCGGTGCATGGTCCTCAGGTTTCACATACAATTTGGCCGAAGCTGTTAAACTGATCAGTCGCGAAAATGCTCCAAATCCTGCTTGCGTGTCTGATGCTTGTCGTCAGTAGAGTGGAGAGTAACTGGAATGCCGAAGAAAGCGATTCATCAAAAGCAAAAATGGTAACTACAGGGTGAGTCAAAAAAAGCGGAAACCAAACCCCCAAAACTATATTTCATATTTAAAAAAAAATATGTAGCACCGAAAATAATACTGACTGGAAAGCCAATTTCATAAGCTACTTTTAGATGAAAAATGACTGAAATTGCTCAATCCGTTCAAAGAATATCACCATTTAAACACAATGACCCTTAAACCTCTTTCGTCAAAAAAAGCGATTTCTAGAATCGTCGTCCAAAATTGTCTTCAAACATCACCAGCGATAAAACCTCAGTTGAAAAGTAAAAAAATATTACACAGAGTCTTTTTGAAGGCCCGTCTTTTAATAAAGTGGATTTTAAAAATAATGTGTTTTGCCTAACAAGGGTCATTAATAAAGATATTGTGTACTACAGTTGTTGACAGTTGTTGAAACAAGTTTTCTTTGTTGTTCCAAATAGTCAGAATACACAATAAATTGCTCCTTTTGTTGGGACGAAACAGGTTTTAGGTTTATTGCGTTAAAATGGTGATATTATTTGAACGGATTAAATAATTTCAGTATTTTTTCATCTACAAGTAGCTTATGAAATTGGCTTTTCAGTCATTACTATTTTTGGTGCTGCATTTTTTTTTTTTTTTAATATGAAACATATTTTGGGGGGTTTGGGTTCCTCTGTTTTTGACTCACCCTGTACATGTATTCTCCTGCCGCATATTGTCTAACGTATAAAGTCCCAACAAAAGAAAGTTACATTCCCTTTCTTTGATTTTCCCACCGCCAATCAGGGATTCAGTCGCATCAATATGACATGCAACGACGCTGAGGATGTGTGTCAACACTGTGTCATAATTCCCCTCTTTGGACAGGAATTCTTAACAGGTACGTAACTCATAGAGACGTTAATCAAGCCTCGAGCAACATAAATCTGTCCGTGTAACGGGTGAGTACAACAAAATGAAACCAAAATGGCAGAACCAATTTTTGAATGAAGTTCAAGTTGCCTGTAGCACATTCAAAATCTAGGATATGAAAACCCAATCAATAAGCTTTCATTTAAAATAAGAATCATTGAAATCACTCGTGTAATTTTTCGAGTTATTTTTTTCAAGAGTTTTGAATACAAACACCGTTTAAAAGTTCTGTCCATGGATCACAAAAAAAAGGTAACACCGGTGTTTTTTCAGCAAACGAACACAATTTTTATAGGGATGCATGTGAATTGTTTTGGTTTTGCTGGAAGAATGCTTAACTTTTTTGTGATCCGTGGACAGAACTTTAAAACGGTGTTTGTGTTTCGAATTCTGTAACGTGAAAAGTACATGAGATTTTAATTATTCTTGTACTAACAGAAAGTTTATTGATTGGGCTTTCATATCCTAGATTTTAAAAGTGCTACAAGCAAAACTGCATTAAAAAATTGGTCCTGCCATTTGGGTTTCGTTTTTTTTCTAGTCACCCTGTAGAGTGATTTAAAAAAAATTCCACTAAAGGTAACAGGCCAGAACAAGGTATGCGCAAAGGTACTAAGCATGAACATGCAGTTGTGCGATAATGAAATAAATAATATTTTAGCTGGATTGAATTTTGTATTTTCGAGCAATTTTAAACATTAATTTCGAACGATTGCAGTACAAGCTCTCAATATAACAAATTAATCATTCTTGCAATATTGTCCTCCGAAAGAAAGGAAATAAAATAAAACAAAAAGTTATGTGGCGATGGCCAAGTCTTCAGGAGTCGGACTTATGACCCTAACCTAATGAGCCCTTACCGACTTCCATATAGAACTCTTCCGGCACTCGGTAACCGGCCCACCACACCTCCTTCCCTGTCCATCCATGTAACT